AAATAAAAAAAAAAAAAAAAAGCTAATGGCATCTCCACAGTTGAGTCTTCACTTCAGGTCTGATTCAAAATGCTATACTAGCACCATAAAAGCAATAGTAACTTAACCCAGGCAATCTATTAGATCAGTAAAATTACTCAGAATAAAATTTATTCAAGTCTAAATACTTATACATTACTACTATTTTGTATGTTTAGCATGTACCCTACAATCAAGCCAGAAAAATGCCTTTAACATTCATATACAAGCAAGTGGATTTCACATCCAAATTAAACTAGACAGCTAACAAGCATGATAAAGAAAAGGTGATAGAATACATATAGGTGAATGCACTGGTGTCATGCAATTCTATGAAGGTCAGAAGAGGGCGTCAGAGTCCCCAGAACTGGAGTTAAGGATGGTTCTTAGCTGCCATGTGGGTACTTGGAATCAAACCCCAGTCTTCAGCAAAAGCAGACAGTGCTCTTAACCACTGCGTTATCTCTCCAGGCCCCAAACACCATTTTTTAAGAATACATGTCTTTGACCTGTTTCAAACCTCTACTTCCCAAGGCTCAGAGACCATTACAGAAGGCAAGGCTTTGGAAAGATTGCAAAAGCCAGAGGGGGTTGATGACCACAAGGAAACAGTCTTCCAGACAGCTGGTCAGCTAGTCATATGAACTCTCAACAATAGTGACAGTATGCTCAAGTCTATGCAACCTTGAACCGTGCAAGCTTGAACCAGACCAAATTCCCGTCTAGACATGGGGAAGAAGGTAAGAAATCCCAACCCAACCTAAGGTACTCTGGGCAATTGCTGGTTGCTGGGAGGGGGAAAGACAGTGTCTTATAGAGATGGAACTCTTCGTGAGCCCAGTACACGAACCCACACTGAAGGACACTTGGGGACAAAAATCAGACACTATAGGTCATATAAATATATGAGAATTCATTAATATAGGCAGGGGGCAGTAGAGGGAGGTAAGGAAAGGGGAGGGGATCTAAATACCATCAAATTATATTGTATGAAAATTGCAAGAATTTAATTAAAAAATAAAATTTAAAAAGAAGAGTAGATGTAAACAAATAGACATTTTAAGGTACTGACAAATAAACATGCTGAGTTTGCAAACTTGTAGTTCTCCCTGGGGCTGCAGAGATGGCTCAGTGGTTAAGTGCTCTGGCTGTTCTTACAGGGGGCATGGCAGTTAACAACTGTCCATGACTCTGGTTCCAGGGGATCTGATGTCCACTTCTGACCTCCTCAGGCATTGTACAACACAGGTGCACTTTCATACATGCAGGCATAACATTCATACACATAAAATAAGAATAAATAAAAAATTATTTTTTTAATGGGCATACCCTGAAAAGTCACAGAGCTCAGTGCTCTCACTGGTACCAGAATTAGCTGTTTCATGTAATGTCATCAGTAACGCCACCACAATCTCTGGTAAATTACTAATGAATAAGTGGTCAATCTGCAAGACACAAAATTAAAATATACCAACATTTTCCTATTTGTGACTTTCACAAAAACACAAAGGGCATGTATCATTTTCTTACTTCCCAAGTTTTTCAGTGACTATAAAATAGATAACCAAGTCCAAGTTCTGCAATATTTATCTCTACTTTTTTTTCTATGTAACCAATCAACCCACAGACTGAAAAGAGTTATCAGGATATCATAGTAAACAAAGCCCCTTTAGTTCAACTCTTCAGTTTACATTTTAAAAATTTACGTGTACGAGTGTTTTGCCTGCATGTAATGCTAAGTACACCCATATCATGCAATGACCACGGGAGCTAGAAGAGAGCTAGAACTGGAGTTAACTACGCATGTAGGTAATGAGAACAATACCTAGATCCTCTGCAAGCAGAATGAATCATCTCTCCAGCTCCACAACTCCAATTTTAAAGAATCACTGTAATTGGCTAAGACTTTAGATGTAGTATGCAATCCCTCAAACTGCTAATTCTCTAGCTAAGTTCCCTACTAATCACTATTTTCAATTCACATGATATTGTTTATTCATTTAGTAACTCTCTAAAACTTTACTGTTAACATCCTCAGTGATTGGCAATCACTTCCTTTTTGTACCGTGCACATCTCTCCAGACTTGAACTTGCATTGAATCCCAAATTCTGATGTGAGCTACCACCCTTCATCAATAGTAGACAAGACTCCTCAAAGTAGCAGCCTTTTCATCAATCTGCTCCTGCCATAAGCAGCCTCATAAAAGGCATAAATTCTATAAGCTGGCCATCAAGTCCAGCTTTTGTGTGGATACTGAGGAGCTAAACTGAAGTCTTCAGGCTTATGCAGCAAGCACCTTATCTGAGCCAACTCCCCAAGTCCTGTACTCTTAAATTTTACTGCTTATATGGGTTATCAGTAAGAGGATAAAGGTAGGTCAAAGCTGATGCCATACCTGCTTTCCAAGTAAGTTTTCATCTTTAAGGATGTCATAGACCTTGGCGGCAGTCTCTCTTTTTTGTGTTATGCTACTGTCTCCTGTACTCTCATAGGCGAAATAAGGAAGAATGTTTACAAGAATCTTTGGAAAGCAGTCTATCAGAAGAGTTCTCCATTCCTTTTGAATCTGATTAGCAATGGACTTCACCTCATTAAAATGACTTCTGATCACCAAATGTGGAATCAAAACTTTGTAACAAGACCTAAAAATACAGGTTATATATTTTTTCAAATTAAAAGCTCACATTAAAATAAATGGAGACCCTGTCTCAAAAAGACCAAAAATAAATAAATAAATAAATAAATAAATAAATGCTTTAATACAGTCATCATTAACATTAAATCCTCTTACTCTAATCTTACAAATCGATAAACTTAATTATAAATAATCACACTAAAAAAGTTTTTGTTTCCCATTGTTTTCCTTTCATAAAGTCTCACTCTGTAACTCAGGCTAGCCTACACACTATGTAGGCCACACTGATCTCTAACTTACAGTAATAATTCTACCTCTATCTCTGAAACCGCAGGAATTACAAGCGTGTACCACACCCAGTTAAGGAACTTATTTCTTTCAATTAATTGAACTAATATTATAGGATGAAAAGCAAAAGTCATTTACCAATTAAAAAGCACTTTTTTAAAATTTATACCAAAAATGAGTGATAAAGTCTATCAAATATACTACATGAAAATCTCTCTCTCTTTTTTTTTGGATACAGGGCTTTACGTAATACAGCTGGCCACCAATTCCCTATTGTAACTGAGAATGAATGCTGGGATTACAGGTATGTGCCACTATGTCTGGTTTATGATGTGCTGGGGATCAAATCCAGGGCTTCATGCATGTTAGGCAAACAGTATACCAACTGAGCTACATTCCCAAGACCTATAAAATGAATTATTTGGGACTAAACTTCTAAATTTAAAATGAATTATTTTGGGCTAAACTTCTAAATTCATAGAAATAATGACTAAATAATCTGTCAGGCAACAGGAAAAAAAGGCAGAAATAATCAGTCACTAGTTATTTTACTCCCTCCACCCCAAGGGAAGATATTCATATGCAATGGAACTCTCTCACTACACCGATCATAAACAAAGATGCAGAAGGTATTACAATGGCTTGCTCAAAGATACACAGCTAGTTAGTAATACTGATACCACCAAATCCTAAGAACTAGTCCACTCTTTGATATGTTCTCAAACAAGCTGCTTTATTTCTTATTCTAGGCAAGAATTCTAAACATGGCTAAGGGTGTGAGAGGCAGTGGTGGTAGTGGGGGCTGCCAAACATTAAATGGAATATATTTTGCACACTCCATGTATAAACCTACCTATAGAAATCCTCAACACTTGTGTAGTTCAGTAAGATAAAAGGAAAAGAGGATAAACTGCATTCAGTGTCTTGAAGGTTTAGCCACTCTGAAACCAGGTAGTCTAAATGGGAAGCCATGAAATCTTCCACACGTCTGTATCCAAATGCTTCAGAAAGTTTCTCTAAAACCTGAACAAAGAAGATTCAATTGATACTCTAAGAAAATATAAAGCATCATTATTAAATCCTTTTTAAATGTTTAAAAGTTATTCACCAGGCTGGGGACATAGCTCAATAGAATGTTTGCAAGGTATGGGTAAGACCCTGGGTTCTATGTCTAGCACCATAAAAAACAAACAAAATGTTACCTAAGTGTATAATAAAAAGTATTCATCTTACCTTTTTCACAAGGTGAGGTTCTAATCCATTCTCCTTCACAGATTTGCACAAGGCAAACAACGCCTGCTTTTCACAGACAGGGCTGCAGTGTAGGACCACAGCTATCACCATCAGCAAAACAGACTTTCTATTATAAATCTCATCCGGAAGGTCAAGGTTCTGAGCACTGTGCAACTTCAAAAGATTTATAAAAGTAATGACATAAATATTTCAGTTATAAATTAGTCACGCTAAAATCAAAGTATTCCAGGCCGGGCATGGTGGTGCACACCTTTAATCCCAGTACTCAGGAGGCAGAGGCAGGCAGATCTCTGAGTTCAAGGCCAGCCTGGTCTACATAGTGAGTTCTAGGACAGCTGGAGCTACAGGGAGACCCTGTCTCAAAAAGACCAAAAATACAAAACAAACAAACAAACAAACAAAAAACCAAAGTATTCCATAACATCGAAGCAGACTGTGAAAAGTTGAGTCAAGTTTTGAGAGGAAAAGCCAGGTGTGATGGCGCATACCTTTAATCCCAGCACTCAGGAGGCAGAGGCAGGAGTATCTGTGAGTTCTGGGCCAGCCTAGTCCACACAGCAAGTTCTAGGCCAGCTAGGGCTACAGAGAGACCCTGTGTCAATCAAACAGGGAAAAAAAAAAAAAAAGATTTGAGGGGGAAAAATGTTTTCTATAGTAAGAAATGCTTTTCATATTTAATAGAAACAGTTACCAAAGGAAAAACATTTCATTGAGGTATAGAGTTCATTAAAGAAAAAAGAGGAAACAGGAAAGTCGAGTGATAGTGAGAAGTATAACAAGGTTCTTCTGCTACAAAACTCCTAAGATGACTTTTATCACTAATATCTTTATAACTCTTTAAACTTTTTTTTTTCTGGTCTTGGTCTGAGACAGGGTCTCCTTGTACCCCTACCTGGCCTGGAACAGGCTGGCCTTGAACTCACAGAAATCCACCTGTCTCTGCCTCCTAAGTGCTGGAACTAAAGGTATGCCCCACCACGTCCAGCTCCTTTTCAACTTTTAAATAATGTCATCTGCATTATCAAAAGAAACTTGCATGAAAACAGAATGCTTTTTCAGTCTAATGGTCAATTACTATAAAATCCCAACAGCAGGCTATCTGCATTTTTTTTCTTTGAAATTTTAAGGTCAGTTTATTAAGTTCAATGATGAAAGCTATCAGAAGAATATTCTCCTGAAAAATAATGGTTTTTTTCTTAGAAAACAAGAAAGGAAAATCCAAAACCTCTCAGCATAGCCACAGATGCTGTGGCAGTCAAGCATCTCTGCAGATAGGGACAGTCCGTTAATCTGAGGGGTCACTCCCCGAGTCAGCAGGATTGTAATCTGGATGTCCTCATCATCCCCCAGCTCCAAGTCATCCATTTCCTGGAACAAGGACTCATTCACCTCCACATTATTTCCAGCGTCCTCCAAGAACTGGATATCAGATGTGTCAAGATTATGACCTGTTTCAAACAGCTGCTTCCCACTTTATTTTTCTCCGCTCTTCTTTCATCATTTCTTTTCGATTTCTAGAAATTCTGCATCAAACTTGGCCTTCCAATTTAGGAAATTCTCAACTGTAACAGGAGTGCCATGGAACAATTTCTTTTCTGCTTCTTAGGCTTTTCTTTTTGTTTCTTTTCTTCCTCTTTTTTTTTTTTTTTTCAGGGTCTCCCTGTAGCCCCAGCTGACCTGGAACTCACTTTGTAGACCAGGGTGGCCTGGAACTCACAGAGATCTGCCTGCCTCTGCCTCTCGAATGCTGAGATTACAGGGGCCCACCACCACGCCCCACCTCTCCTAGTTTTTGTCTGATCTATTTCAATTTTTCTGCACAGCTGTGACTAAAGATCATCACCATGCCAAGGTTCTCCTCGGTCTGCAAAGCCAGTAATTTTAAAATGTCTGAGACATCATTATCTTCTAGATTTTCTTGGGAGACTATTTCATAAAGTGGAGCTTCATCTGGGTATTTTTTACTATATGTAAACTTGACGGTAGTCTGGACAGTTTCATCATTTTCTCCAGCTTCAGATGTCACAGTAATGGTGAAGCTGGGTGGATTTTCTGGTAATACTGTGAAGGAGTCGGGGTAGATGGACTCCAGAGCCTCCAGCTCGTTGCGCTGCTCCTTTCTGTGGTCTGTCGTCGTGGCCCACGCTGCTGCCCATGTATCACCACGACACCCAGGCTGCACGCTGCAGTGGACACCGCGGCGCAGAGTCCGGGTGGGAAGGCTTGGGGCCCGGGCTAGGCCCAGCCTACCCCATCTGCATTTTTTTATGTATATGCATGGTTTGCATAATTATATATATGGGCACCAGGTGCATGCAATGCCCGCAGAGATCAGAAGAGGTCATCATAATCCCTGGAACTGGAGTTATGAACTGCTGCCAGTGCCATGTAAGTGCTGGGAACTGAACCTGGGTCCTCTGCCAGAGAAGCAGTGATCATAACTGCTGAGCCATCTCTCCAGACCATATCTGCATTTTTGGACTATTCATATTTGAAATAAGTTTTTCCTAACTTAGAAACTCTGTTACTCATTGATCACTCTTGGTATAAGACCAAGAAAGAATCTAATTTCTCTATTAAAGTAATTATATGCATGTTAAAAAAACAGGTGTGAGTAGGCACTCATTTATCCTTTAGGAGATACAGACTTATATAGTCTCTACTCATGGTCAAACATCTACTTTTAGGATTAGTAGTATAGCTCACTGGTGGAGTATTTGCTCAGCATACAAAAAGGGACTGGATTCAATGCCCAGCATTGAAAATAACAAATATATATATATATACTCTTTTTAAAAAAGTATAGAAGACCCAAGTTGTTTTACTAATCTTATTTATGATGATAAGCTTCTGTTAGTGAAGTATAAAACAAACTGTTTTGGTAACTGCACCACAATGATTATAGTGTGATTTTCAGTTTGGGTTTGTTTGTTTGTTTTGTCTTTTTGAGACAGGATCTCCCTGTAGCTTCAGTTGGCCTAGAACTCGCTAAGCAGACTAGGCTGGCTTCAGACTTTACAAAGATCTGCCTGCCTCTGCCTCCCAAGTGCTGGGGGATTAAAGGCATGCACCACCACCATGCCAGGCTTGTGATTTTCAGTTGTAAAATGTCTTAGTCTTTTTCTAAATGAACTACTGTCCATATTTAATATAGTTTTTCAAATATTAGGCTCATTTAAAATGTATAATATATATTGTGGTAGTTAGTGTTTATTGTCAACTTGACAGAATCTGGAATTACCTAGAATCTGGAATTACTCAAGACATACCTATGAGGGATTATCTTGATTGTTAGCCTTTGGTCAGTCTATGAGCAGTTATCATCATTACCTTAACTAAAAAGGGAAGACCCATCCTAAAAGTGGGAAGGTGCGGGCAACACCATTTCCTGGGCATGTGCCCTGGAGTACATAAAAAAGATAAAGCTAGATGGACATGGTGTTGCATCCCTTTTATTCCAGCACTTGAGGCAGGTGGATCTCTGAGTTCAAGGTCAGCCTGGACTACATAGTGAGTACAAGGCCAGTCACAGCTACACAGTGAGACTTTGCCTAAAACAACAGCAACAACAACAACAACAAAACAAAACAAAACAAAACAAAACAAAACAAAAAACCCTGACAAAATGGAGAAAGCTGGCTGAGCAAAAGAACTCATGTCTCTCTGCTTCTTGGCTGAGGGTGCAATGTCTGCAGCCACCTCAAACACCTGCCAATAGAACTTTCCTCCATGATGGGCTGTAGCTTGAACTGTGAGTCAAAATCAACACTTTGTCACTGAAACTGCTTCTGTCTGGGGTATTTTATCACAGTCACAAGAAGAGAAACTAATACAAATAACTGCTGAGTTTCATATTATGTAAACTTAATCCCTCCATTCACATCCCTGCATCACACTGCATTTCAGTTTCCTGCTATCACAGGTTTGATAGTCATCTAACTACCATAAATCCTTTGCGGAAACAAATCAGGGTAAAAATAAGTATTCGAACACCGAAACAATTTTCACAATTTAAACAAAATATATTCTACAGAAATATGAAAATCACAAGTGTGACTAAAACGAAGAAAATTTTGTTCTGGTGTCAGAATTTTTCCTCAGTATGTCAATAACTAATCACTTGTTTTCTCAATTAGTTCTTAACCAGATCGTATACAAAAGCATTTTTTTAAAGGCAAGGACTTGCTGTGTAGGCTAGGCTAGTACTCATCACACAATCCAGACTGGCCTCAAACTTGACTCAGGTCTTTTGATTCAGCCTCCTGAGTAATGAGATTACAAGCATGTACAAGCATGTACCACCACAAATGTTTCTTGGTATGTTTTGGGTTTTAAGCACTTCTTAATTTTTTTTAAAAAAACCCATTTAGGGGCTAGGGAAATGATTTAGCAGTTAGGAACACTTGCTACTCTCCAGACGACCCAAGTTCAGCTCTCAGCATCCAGGCTGGGGGGCTCACAACCACCTGTAACTCCAGAACCAAGGTATCCTATACCATCTTCTGGCCTCCAAAGGCATAGACACTTAGGTGCCATTTATGTGTATACACACACACACACACACACACACACACACACACACACATAATAAAAATAAGTATTTCAAAAAGAGCCTTTTAAACCATAATTAAAGTTGGGTTTTCATTACAAAAACACCACAGATAAAACTGAAGCAAAAAAAATTCTATAATTTGATGCAATCTGACATATAAACTTAAATATTTTTTAAATTATTATTTTACGTGTATGAGTATTTTGTCTACATGTGTATAGGTGCACCCGTGTCATGCAATGCTCCTGGAGGTCAGAAGAGGGTGTTAGAACCCTGGAACTGGTGTCACAGACAGCTGGTAGCCACCATGTGGGTGCTGGGATTTGAACTCGGGTCCTCTGTAAGAGCAGCCAGTGCTCTTATCCACTGAATCATCTCTCTAGCCCCTGACCATATAAATTTTATTCAAATTCTATTTACTCTACATAGCTGACTAAGACTAGCTTTATACTGCAAACTACATGATGCAAATTGTCTTACACCAAACCTGCAAAAGAAATATGTAACACGTCATCAAATGCACACTATATACATGTTAATTCTAATTACCACTTCTCTTACCCCTTCCCGAGCCTTCATGTATGCATTTTCAAAAGCTGTTTGCTGGAGCGTCAAAGGAAGTGCTTTCAAACACCTGAAGGAATCTCCTTGCTTCATCTCCTGGAATAATCTTTGTTCATTTATTTATTTATTTTTTTAAAAAAAAGAACAAAATGAAACAATTTATTTCAAACCCTGCTTTTTAAAGTATATTTCAGAACAAAAGTAAAACATTCTATGAGGCAAACATACTAGTCCTTTCTCTGAAAGACTAATGAAATTTGAGTCCCTTTTTGCAGTTACATCCACTAAATATTAAGGCTTTTAATATTTAATCCATTTTTCCTCTGAGAAAAGAGAATTTCAGCCAGGTGCCACACTCTTAATCCCAGCAATTCAGAGGCATAGGTGTTCAGATCTTTGTGAGATCCAAGTCAGCCTGGTCTACACAGAATTCCAGGTCAGCCAACGCTACATAATGAGACCCTGTCTCAAAAAAAACAAAAATATTTAAAAATTTAAAAAAAAGAAAGAGAATTTCAAAAAATCTTTAAACTATTGGTCATATTTGAATTTTTAAAACTGCCAAAAAGATAGATTATCCTAAAACAACAACTAAGATACCACAAACCCCTGTCAATCTATTACTTATTTTTTAATATTTTACTTTTTATTTTTTATGTGTATAAGTGCACCAGTGTTGTGCAGTGCCCATGGAGGTAAGAAGAGGGCATCAAATCCCCTGGAACTGGAATTACAGATGGTTGTTAGCTGTCATGTGGGTGCTGGGAATCAAACCCAAGTCCTCAGCAAGAGCAATTAGTGCTCTTAGCCACTGAGCCATCTCTCCAGCCACCCAATCCAATATTTAACCACTATGAAAATGAGTAACTTAATGCCTTGATGTTCAATTTAAATATCATTTTATGTGGAGAATGATGCCTTTTAGATAATATCTATATACTTAAAGCAACTTAAACTTTGTCCTTGATACTTCTTAGAAATAAAAATTTCATAATTTATGCTATTTTTTGGGGAGGGGGGGTGTCTTTTTGAGACAGGGTCTCCCTGTAGCCCCAGCTGGCCTGGAGCTCACTATGTAGACAAGGCCGGCCTCAAACAAACAGAGCTCCACCTGCCTCTGCCTCTAGAGTTCTGGAATTAAAGGCATGTGCCACCACCCCTGGTTTAATTTCTGTTATTTTTGATTCCTCTAGTTTGTCTAGCCTTTCTTAAAGTAGCCCAACATTAAGTATATAACAAATGGGGACTGGAAAGATGGCTTAGCAGTTTAGAGCACTGCTTATTCTTCCAGAGGACCCAGGCTCCTTTCCCAGCACCTACATGGTGGCTAAGAGCCATTTATAACTCCAGTTCCAGGGGATCCAACACCCTCTTCTCGCCTCCATGGGCACTGAAGGATATGGGTGCACCTACCTACAAACAGACAAAACATTCATACACATAAAATAAAAATAAAGAAATCAAGTAAATATACCTAACAAGTGAAAGACCAGAAACCAACAAATTCTATTTACACATCTATCTTGAATTTCTATATTTTTGAAACTTACAATTTATTCCATGCCTCAACTTACATTATGACACTCAAGTAATGATCTCTATAACCTCAGAACTTTAACCTCAGCATATATATTCTATCCTTTACCTGTGAAATTCAGTAAGAATCTGGACTACTAAACACAAATCACTAGAGATCCTTACAATGCACTATAGTCTTACTAAAAAACTCAAAATGTAGACATAAAATATGGTTCATGGAAATTATATACTGGTTTTAACATTACATAGGTGACTGCTGGGAAAATTTATTTATGGTAAACTACAACTAGACACTTAGGTCTAAATAGTACTCAAACGATTTTCAGCTTTTATTTATCTTTTTTTTTTTGTCTTTTTGAGATAGTCTCCCTGTAGCCCCAGCTGTCCTGGAACTCACTACGTAGACCAGGCTGGCCTCGATCTCAGAAATCCACCTGTCTCTGCCTCCCAAGTGCTGGGATTAAAAGTGTGCAAAAGTGTGCGCTACCACGCCCAGCTGATTTTTTTTTGGGGGGGGGTTCTTTTTATTTTATGTGTATGAGGTTATGCCTGCATGTATAAATGCACCCATGTCATGAAGTGCCTGCAGAGGCCAGAAGAGGGTGTCAGATCCCCTGGAACTTGAGTTACAGACAATTGTTAGCCATCAGATGAGTTCTGGGTGGGTATCAAACCCGGGTCCTTTGCAAGAGCAGCCAGTGCTTTTAACCACTAAGCCGCCTCTCCAGGCCCCAGCTTTGATATTAAGTAGTATGCAATTTCTTTTCCAAATACATCAATTTTTTAAAATATATTAATTTTATTAATTGTCAATGAACTCGTACCACAGGCCAAATATTGTTTTATGTGCTAAAGACAAGTAATGAATGTATGAGTGCTATATAAAAAGAAAAAACTACCCATTTATTAACTCACATAAAGACCTGGTAATATTCAAACATTCTATACTTCATGAAGTGGCAGCAGAGAAACCTCATTCGAATCAATGGCTTATTAGCTATACACCACTAAGCACGGTACTTCTCTAAGCCAGAGTTTTAATTTATAAGTTGCAGAAAATAATACTACCTAAGTGGTAAAATTTTGTGTATTAAGAGAAACCTTAAGTCCTAGGCATACTATATATGTACAGCAAGTGTAAGCTGCTGTTGATACAACAGACAGTGAGCTGTGAGTGCGCTAGACACTGCACTTGATGGAGCATTACAAACGCTTCATGGAAATCTAACTGCTTGCTTACCTATTGATTGACCCTGCAGCCAACATTCGAACTTGGTGATGATCATCGGCAAGGAATTGTGGAAATACTTCATTTATAGGATAGTCTTCTCCCATTACGTTAAGAATAGCCCACTTTGAATATGGATCAGCCTACAGTAAAATAACAATTGAGGTCAAATACAACAAAATCACTTGTTAGCACACAGAAACAAAGGCAGCGTCAACATGTCAACGGAGACCTTTCTAAACACAAAGAGTAACTTACCTCAAGCAGTGTTTGAAGACATTTTACTAAGGCCATTCTTACAGAGAATGCACATTTCTGCTCCTTTGTCAGATGCCTAAAATCAAGCAAGATTTTCAGTGTAATAATTATTCCAACAAAAGCACAAGAAAAAACAAAGTATTAAAGTTATAGGTTGCTCACAAATTGTTTTTAATTAATTTTCATTACTTGGCATATGCCAAGAAATTTTACCTTACACAAACTTCAGGCTAAATGAAATGGAATTTATTTTAATCTACATGTGTTTTGTGCAATTATGCCTCTACTTCAAGCTCTTATGTTTCACCTACCCACGCTAAGGCAAGCTAAAGAGCAACAGAAGGTAAGTTTTGGCTGTTATATCACAGATTTAAAATCCACATTATATACTGACTTAGACATCTTTATTGATCAGATAGCATGAGGATTCTAAATATATGTGCTCTTTTATAGGTACTAAAATGTTATTGTTAGGCCCGTGAAATGGCTCAGTGGGTAAAGGTACCTGTCACTAGGCCTGACATCCTGAGGTCTATTCTCAGTACCTCCATGTTGGAAGGAGAAAACTGACTTCCACTAGTTGTTCTTTGACTTCTTACACAAATATGTGCACACACATAAAATAAATATATAAAGAATTTTTTTTAAGACATGTTTATGATCATATGAATGAAATACTTAATGAGAAGACCAACTGGCTCCCTTGGAGATAGGAAAAATTCAACTGGTTTAGGTTTGTTCCACTTTTTAAATTCATTAGCCATGGCAATCTATTATGATTCAAAACTTGCACGGAGGCTGGAGAGATGGCTCAGTGGTTAAGAGCACATGGTAGCTAACAACTGAATGTAATTCCAGTTCCAGGGGATAGGACACCCTCTTCTGGCCTCTGCGGGCACTGCACACACAAGGTGCACTTACATGAAAGCAGGCAAAACACTCATAGACATTAAAAAAGAAAAAAACTAAAAAAAATTTGCAGGTACAAGTGATGACTTGCTCCAAGCTGCACAAGGACAGAGACAGGGCTACCTAAGAAGTCCTTTGATGACAGGACCTTATCAGAGAAAACGTAGATGCAGCTGTCTAAATGCACACATGGGGACTGAAGCAGTGAGCAGGATCAATCCATTGCTTTTGACTGCCACTGCTTAGTTACCAGCTTCCAACAGCAGAAAGAGCAGTTCAACACTGAAACTCTTCCTGTTGAGGAAAGAATAGCGGCTCCTGCTAACACTACAAGGTTGGAGGAAAAGACAGATAATGACCCCTCTTCAACAGCTGATTTTCCTAACAGTGATCTGGAAGAAGCTTCTCTGGAGAATTTAAAGAATTTAGGTGAATCTGCAACTTTAAGAAGCCTACGGATCAATCCATAACTGAGGCAGCTGATGGGGACAACACAGCAAAGCTGAGCAAAGTCTACGTGCAGGAGTCTTTGTGGAGATTGCTGGTTAAGAATTCTGGAGTCAGCGGGGTGTGGTGGCACACTCCTTTAGTCCCAGTTCTTGGGAGGCAGAGGCAGGCAAATCTCTGTGAGTTCTATGAGTTTGAAGCCAGCCTGGTCTACACAATGAGGTCCGGGCCAGCTGGGACTACAGGGAGACCCTGTCTCAAAAAGACCAAAATTAAAAAAAAAAAGGAAGAAGAATCCTGGAGTCATTCCATCCCAGAATGAGGGTTCTTAAAACGGATTGGTGTTCAAGCACATGCTTGACTCTAGGACCCATCCACTGCTGCTCCCAGGAGGCGAGGAAGTATGTAGCCTAAGCAGAGAGGTGGTAGGCTTCCCAGAGACAGGCAGGTCTTGATCATATAGTTCATGCCTTAGGCACATTGTGGAAACTCAAGGCACAGACTTTATGAAGAGGAAATTTACTATTCACATGGTGGTTTTAAAATACTTTGTTTGGATAGGCCGGGCGTGGTGGCACACGCCTTTAATCTCAGCACTTGGGAGGCAGAGGCTTGTGAGTTCAAGGCTAGCCTGGTCCACATCGTGAATTCCAGGACAGCTGGGGCTACAGGGAAACCAAAAAAAAAAAAAACTTTATTGGGGGGTGGAGGCAGGAGAGATGGCCCAGTGGTTAAGAGCACTGGCTGTTCTTGTAGAGGACCAGGGTTCAAACCTCAGCACCCACATGGTGGCTAACAATTGTCCACAACTCCAGTTCCAGGGGCTCTCACACCCTCTTCTGACCTCTGCGGGCATTACACAACATGGGTGCACTTACATACATGCAGGCAATTCACTCAAACATAAGATTTTTAAAAAATAAATAAAATATTTAAAATATTTTATTTTGGGTATAGTTCAGATAAATATCAAGTTAAATTTTGAATTAAAATCTGAGTATTACTAAATAAATTCAATTCTACTACACATTGCATTGTTCACTGTCCTTGACTCCTAATCTTATTGTTTGAAATTGCATTAAATAAATCAATTTATTAAATATTTAAAAATATTTCAGGGACATATTCTAACATTTTATGAAGCCTGATTTGGGGGGGAAAAAAAATCCTACAATGTAGCTGTTCAAGCAATTAAGGAAAGACAGAGCTGGGAGATGACTCAATGGATATGCCACTGAAACATGAAGACCAAAGTCAGGATTCCAATATCCATGTAAAGCCAGATGTAGCAGCCTCCATCTGTAATCCCATCACATCTACAGGGAGAATCCCTGAAGTCTGTATCCAGTTAGCCTGGTATATATAGCAGTCAAATAGAGACTTAATCTCAAACAAGGTAGCAAGTGAAGACTGACACCCAAGGATGTCCTCTGACTACCACAGAAATACCATGGCACACAGGTGCCCATACTCACACACACATCCACTACAAACACATACACACAGGGAGCAAAGACAAATTACATTCTGCTATTGTTAAGATGTATAGAATAACACAGGAGGATCAGAAAAAAAAGTTACTCTCACACACACACACACACACATACACACACACACACACACACACACAAAGTTTACATTTGCATCCAGAGGCAGAAAAAGAACTTGAAAAAGAAGACATATGCCTACCAAAATGCTCCAACCACTGTCAGGAACTGTCCTTGAGCATCCCTTGTGTTCTCAAGGTCCAGACTACCTTGTCCTAGGTTTGTCACAACATGAAGGACATGGTTTAAAATGGATTTACAAACATCTTGATCACGACGATGCAAAGAACACACATGGCTATGAGGAAAAGTTTAATGATATAAGCTTGGCAGAACACATTAGTTAAGTTTACAAATTTAAAGTGAGCATAACATACGGCTTTCATTGCTTACGATAGTGGTTTCAGAAGTTCAATAACATCTTCCATTGGCAAAGGATACTCATCTCCAGGGAGATCCTTTAGAAGCACTAAGTACTAAGATGGTTTAAAAAAAAAAAGGCAGCATTATCAAGAGATCATTTAAAAAGCGTATATATGCATAAATTCATAAATGCACAGAGCTACAAATTTCTATAACAAGGCATATAACAAAAAGTATATTTAAAATCAAATACCGGATTCAAATCTCAGCATAACAGCTTTATGTGGATAAAAATATTGGCCTTGGGGTGAGCACAGTGCTGTATGCCTTTAATCCCAGCACTTCAGGGCAGAGGTAGGTGGATTGTCTGTAAATCAGATGATAGCCTAGTCTACATAGTATTTTTTGTAATAGCAAATAATTTCAAATAACTAAAGTATACCATTTTATGTAATCAGAAAGATTTCTGCAAACCATGAAGGACTACATAGGTAGATCCAGTCTCAAGAGAAAATGAAAAAAACCTTGGTCTTATAACATCTACCTTTGTACTCCCATTTGTAAAATGGGAATGTATAATTATCTGATTAGATAACTGAGAAGAAAATAAACATAACCTGCTAGTCTCTATTGTTTAATAAATGACCATTACTGTCATTCCTGGGATTAAGATGAAGAATTTTGCCTAGCACAGTGGCATACACCTTTAATCCCAACACTCAGAGAAGGCTGAGGCAGGCAGATCTCTGAGAGTGAGGCCAGCCTGGTCTATGTAGCAAGTTCCAAGCCAGCTGGGACTGCAGGGAGACTCTGTCTCAAAAACAAAGCCAGGCATGGTAATATAGGCCTTTGATCCCAGCCCTCAGGAGGCAGCGGAAGGGGGATCTCAAAGTTCAAGGCCAGCCTGGTCTCCATAGTAAGCCAGGCCAGCTGGGGCTATAGGGAGACCTTGTCTCAAAAAGACCAAAAACACCAAAACAAAAAAAACAAAAACAAAAACAAAAGAAAGAAATTAATGAATTTTGGAAAGGAGAGATAACCATGGAAGGGGAAGTCAAATACCCATCTGCTTATAGGACAAATTTATAACTCTGTATGGTACCGAAGATACAAAAAGCAGTGTTATAACTAGATTTTTCTTTTTCTCTTTTTGAGAGAGGGTCTCCCTGTAGTCCCAGCTAGCCTGGACTGGCTATGTATGGAGACCAGGCTGGTTTCAATCTCACAGAGATCTGCCTGTCTCTGCCTCCTTGTGCTGAGACTAAAGGCATATACAACTAGTAATTTTTATGGTAGTTATAACCAAGCATTTAGTTTTTCAGAGGTGCTAAATAATTTTGTAATTACACCAAAAGATCCTAAGAGGTTTGCCCTTTAATTTGTATGTGAAAAGTATTCCTTATTCCTCATATACTAACAAAGAAAAAATTGAAATCTTCAATATTTAACATGTAAGTCATAGGTAATGTTACCAAGTGTTTGATGTGACTTTAAACATCAAAGCTTCAAGAAAAGTATAAAACCCCTCCCATTGATCAAAGGTAAAGAAACAAAACAAAGAGCCCCAATAAGACAATGCCAGGTTAGAGAATGTCTGTGCACGGTCAAGGCGTTCCTAACCAGGAATTCCACCAGGGACTTAAATTACATGTGTCATAGTTTGAAACTTACCAGACATTTCTGCCAGTTTACTAGAACTGAGATTATAACCTTGGGCCTACCTAGAAGATACTGAGTAGGAGCTCTTCCTAACTCTTCACTGGGGATGGATTAAGGACACGTTCTACATGATAAATAGCTTAGCTCCATTTAAGGTTATTGAGTAAATAAATTTATTTACTTGTGGGAATGTAAGGTTTTTGGTTTTTTTGTTTTTTTCTGCAAATAGACACAGGAGAACAAATTTAGATATGGGGGGGCATACAGTGATGGAGAGTGATAGATTAGAATTAAAGATATATATTAGTAGTATCAGGATAAAGGCAAGACTGAGACTTGAGTCTTACCATGTTACAGATTATTTTTACAGTCAAGATCTAGGTTTCATTGGCTGTTGGTTATACTTATAATCTCAGTACTTAGAAGGCTGACAGGAAAATTGCTTAGCACAGGCCAGCCTGAGCTACATAGTGAGAACCTGTCTCAAATACGAAGTGTTTCTAAAGATAGTCTATAATAATTATACTAAGAGAACCAAGTCTACTCAAAATGCACCTCAGTTACACAACTTTAGAATCTATTTCATTTCACAGCACATTACAAGACAAACTGAAATCTAGGTATAGTAACATGTACCTCTCACCATTATCAGGACTGCCAGAACCCAAGAGTTTTAGCCAGCCTGGGCAGCATACCTAGACATATACATACACACAGTATACTGTCTCAGATTAATTTTTCAAGAAATTAATTTTAAGTCTTCGAAGTTACTGTATGATTCATACATATCCAGCTACTATATTTGGTTGGCAACACCTGACAGAATAAAAAAGTCTTCACTCCACTTTACTCACCATGTGTAGGTGGAGGGGTTTAGTAAGATCGAGTGTGCTAGAATCAAGAAGAATTAACAATTTTCTTCGAATATCAGCTGATCTAAAAGACATAGCATTGGTATGGGATGCAGTTACACACATGCACAGGAACCTGAGCATGTCTAAAAGCAGTAGATCTGACTTTGAAAGATAGTCTTCAGTTAAAGGATTCACAGCACCTAAAAATAAAAGGTTCTTATTAACACTATGAAAGGGGTCTTTTTTTTTTTTTAAAGACAGGGTTTCACTATGTAGACAAGGCTGGCCTCAAACTCAGAGATCCCCCTGCCTCTACCTCCTAAAGGCACACACCCAGCCCACCTTCATGCTTTCCACTGTCGAAACTATCCATCATGCAGTTTTATTTTAAACTCTTCCATGGAGAATAAATGAATAAATTCAATTTTAAAATAAGAATAACTTAAAATGTATAGTAAGAGGGATGATGACATGGCTCAGCAAGTAAGAGCATTTACTACACAAGCCTGACAACCTTACTTTAACCTCCAGAACCTATAGTAAGAGGAGTTATTCCGCCCAAACTGTCTTCTGACCTCCACATGTATGCCTCCACACATCACACCTGTATGCCTGCACTTACATCACACACACACACACACACACACACACACACACACACACACACACAATAATGACTATTTTTAAATGTACAGTAAGAGAGCAATCCAAGTAGACTATATATAAGGGGAAAAATTAGCATAAAAATCTTTCCAATGAAGCCATTTACAATGCCAAACTAATACAAAAGTGGTGGAAGAAACCCCAACTAGTAAATATGTGTTTACCAATAGCATTCTGGTTCTCTCCAGAATCACTGGCATCACTCACAGTGCTAGCAGGACAATCACTAAACATGCTCATAGATGTTGAACCCTGCGCCTCCATTAGATTTTCCTCTGTATCATCTTCTATTGAGTGCACGTCTACATAATCAAATGGCTTTTTCGTACAGGATGCCTTCAGAGAGGAGAAACAAAGATACCCTTTTCAACTTGGTATTTTTCAGAAGCATCTAATCTAACATTTTGTGGGAAAGTGAATATATAAACTAGAATGTGTCTAAATAACAGAATATAAAACTTTAAAAAGTAATTTATTATATTAACGTCTATTGAGTGCACGTCTACATAATCAAATGGCTTTTTCGTACAGGATGCCTTCAGAGAGGAGAAACAAAGATACCCTTTTCAACTTGGTATTTTTCAGAAGCATCTAATCTAACATTTTGTGGGAAAGTGAATATATAAACTAGAATGTGTCTAAATAACAGAATATAAAACTTTAAAAAGTAATTTATTATATTAACGAGTCTTAGTCATTCCATACTGTATTCAAACATGAGTACCATTCTGTACCCCACAAACATACACAACTATAATTTGCCAAAATATAATTTTTTTAGAAGTCTTTTAATAATAAAACTTGATGAAAGTACAAAAAAGTATCAACTGCTAGGACTATTTTGGAGGACAATGACAACACGTATCAAAATTAAAGTTGGGTATAGTGGCATGTGCCTGTTGTCCCACCTACTTAAAAGCCTGAGGGAGGAGAATCATTTGAGCCCAGAGTTCAAGGCCAGTCAAGGCAACACACTACAACCTTATCTCAAAAAACAAAAACAAAAAAGCCCTAAAATTCAAATTCCTTTTGAACATAAGTCCTTCACTAGAATTTCTCCTGAATCTTTCATGTACACAAAGAAAGACAACAAAGAAGTTCAAGAGTCTCTACAGCAGAACACTGCGAGAGAAAATAAATGATTTACACACTGATTAAAGTTAGGCTCCGGAGGGCTGGAGAGCTGGCACAGCTGTTAACGTTGGGCTCTTGGGCTGGAGAGATGCTCAGAGAGGTTAAGAGCACTGGCTGTTCTTGCAAAGGACCTGGGTTTGATTCCCAGCCCCCACATGGCAGCTAACAACTGTAACTCCAGTTTCTGGGGATCCTATGCCCTCTTCTGATCTCTCTGTAGGCATTGCATGGCACAGGTACACTTACACTCATGTAGGCAATACACTTGTACATATAAAGTAAAAATTAATAAATAAAAAATTTATTTTAAAAAAGCCAGGCTCATGTCTCTAATCCCAGCACTTGGGAGGCTTCAAGGCCAGCCTGGTCTATATAGTAAGTTATAGGCCAGCCAGTGCTACATAGTGAGACCTGCCTCACTAAAAGCAAGAGCAGGTGGACTTTAAAAACAAAAGTATTCTTTCCAGATAGGGCTAAAAAGAAACAATATATATATATATATATGTGTGTGTGTGTGTGTGTGTGTGTGTGTGTACACACATTCATACATACATATATATGTATTCCTATATCGTGTAATACCAATACACTATTCCTATATAGTAAAATACCACACACTGTCAAAGTATAGCCATATACAGCATATAAATAAGTATGGCAACAAGGAAAAATGACTAAAATTTGGCATGAAATACAAATAATGAAGTTACAGAATATTTTAGGGACTGTAGATATTTAAAGGTATTTCCTATATATTCCAAGTAGGGTACCAGAACAACTGTAGCACAGGCATGTTTGCACACAAGATAAAACATAAACACCACAGTAAGTATACGCAATCTAGATGACAAAGTCCTTACGTTTTTTTGTTTTTTAGGAATGATTTTGAGCTGGGCATGGTGGCGCACGCCTTTAATCCCAACACTTGGGAGGTGGAGGCAGAGGCAGGTGGATCTCTGTGAGTTCAAGGCCAGCCTGGTCTACACAGTGAGTTCCAAGACAGCTGGGGCTATAGGGAGACCCTGTCTCAAAAAGAAAAAAAAAAAAAAAAAAGAATGATTTTAAATTTCAGTAAAGGATTGCATAGAAATTAAATGTGAGCTTGAACAACTGATCCAATCCTTTAGTCTATTAGTTAGTGGGAAACTAAAAGCCAGGTACTGATAATAAAAGTCCCAGCACTCATGAGGCAGAGGAAGGCGGATCTCCGTGAATTCAGGGCCAGACTGGTTTACATAGTGACTTCCAGGCCAGTTTGGGCTACAGGGAGACCCTGTCTCAAAAAGAGCAAAGGTTAGGTGCTGATATTGAGGGGAAGTCAAACATATATCCATCTTAATCAAATTTATTTAATTCCTACATTTACAAAAATATAAGATGTTATATACTGTCAGATGCACCTCTATTTACAAGATATTTCAGCAACAACAACAAAAAAAAATGCATTTTCAGAACTGGCAAAATGACTCAGTGAGTAGAAGTTCCTGCCTGTGGACATGAGCTCAGACCTCAATGCCAAAAGGTAGCAGACAGAATCAACCCCCAGAGCTGTCCTCTGAATCACACACAGGCACATACATGTTCATACACTTTCACACAAACATAAATCAAAAATTTTAAAACTGCATCTTAGAATAATACAGTAGAAAAAGACAAGTGTATACTTACTAAACTTTTACAAATATCTGCAATGTCATTCATAAGCTTTGATGTTAACAATCGTAGGAAAAAGTCAGATGAAATCTTATTTGGACTTTGCTGTAATTTAGACAAAGAACCAAATAATAAAACAAACAGTATTCTTGGTAGTAATATTTTCTCTATCTTGAATGAAATGTAAATAAAAGAGTTCACAGTTGGGAATAAGACATAAGTTGTTTGAGTACACAACCCTCTTTTCTTAGTCATACTAACTACAGCAAATATCTTTCACTGTGCATAAGCATCACTGAAGTACTAGCTACTGATTGAAACACAGTAAGTAGTAATTTTAGCTGAGGCTTTATTCTTCCACTCTCTTCTTCCCACTTCAAAACAACAACAAAAAAACACATAACAAGACTCAAAGTACATGCTAAGAAGGTAAGTTGCCTAGGGAAGTAATATTAACTTTCAAAAATGTTTCAAATTATTAGCAACAGTCTAGTCCAGATCAGCTACCCCCCATAGGGCTTTTCAAAATCAAAACAAAGATTACATACAGTGGCACTCTTCATAAGATGATCTGAGCACAGAAAGTAAGGTTTGTACTGCCCTCTACACACTGAGCTACATCCTTACCTGGTATTATCTTTGTACTACTCACTACCTGTGGTATAGTGATATCCTAATCACAAACTCATTAACAGCTGCTTAAAAATGAACATGCTAGCAATAAAAGATTCATCTATGTAGTTACATGTAAAAATAGTAAGAAAACAAATTATGAAATTAGTTTCATGAGAAGTAAGATTACCTACTTATTCCTCTGGACATTGCCTTTATTGACATCATTCAACACAGTTTTAGATCAGTTTATAAACTTACAAATGAATCAAAAAGTCAATACTAACAAGCAACATACCCCAAGAAGAAGCAGACTATCTTACCTTGGTATGTCTACACAAGCAATTTGAACACAGATGAATCATGTTTCTCAAAGAACCAATTCTAGACTCTTCATTTGTCTTATTTTTAAACAGAGCAATACTTTCTCCTGCATACTGCATTAGAGACTATTCAGAAAAGAAAAAAGTCAAATTTCAGTTATTTAAAAAAATAATGGTCTCATTATGTAGCCCAGACTGGCCTTGAAGTCACAGAAATCTGCCTGCCTCTGCCTCCTGAGTGCTGAGATGAAAGGCTTTAAAGGCTGGGTCAATTCTAGTTAAAACTAACACCTTAATACTGCCTTTTAAAAATTTTTTTAAGAAACAAAATTATCTTTACAAACTGAACATGAACTGGGAGCAGTGGCTGACACATCATCCCAGTACCTGAGGGGTGCTTAGAAAGAAGAATCACCATGATTTTGAGGCCAACCTGGACTATATATAGTGCATTCTAGGCTAGTCTGGACTAAAAAGTAAGACACTGTCTCAAAAACAAAACAAAAAGTTGCACATAGTCATGTAATAAAATTAGAAATTATGAAGAGTCAAAAAGAAAATGACCAATGCAAGTCAAGTGTAGCAATGCATACCTAAAATCCCAACACTTAAAGGATACAGGCAAGAGGATCTCAAGTGCCAGGTCAGGTTAGGCTACAAAATGAGACCCTGTCTCAAAAAACATAATCACCATAAATCTTGTACTCGTTGCAAACTACTCCATAGACATAGTAATACCAAGAGATAAAGTTTTAAGCTTAGGGTTACATGATTCATACATGCCATCAAGAATTCATTACAGGGGGCTGGAGGGATGGCTCAGCAGTTTCAGAATACTGGTTGCTCTTGTAGAGGACCTGGGTTCCCAGCACCCATGTGGGGGCTAACAACCATGAGACCCAATGCTCTCCTCTGACCTACTCCAAGAGGCACACACATGGTGCACAAAACATACATGCAGGCAAAATACTAAAATACCACATTTTCATTAACCAGTCGTCAGTTGAGGGGCACTTAGGTTGCTTCCATCTGTGCATGCTAACACCATTGCTGTAGGTTTATATGAGAAGGGTCCCAGGCGCCTGTAGGACTATTTCCATATGGTCATGCACCTCCCCACTAGCTCTTACAATTGTTCACTCCCCTCTTCCCTGGGTGGGTGGACCTCAATATAGGAGACCTGTCCAAGGACCCACATTTGCCGATTCTTATTCTCTGCAGATGCAAACTTAGGCAGACAAAAGCCCAGCTCAAAACTGTGGAAATGAACAGTAAGCCCGAATCTTAGTCAAAGGATTATTGGCAGCTAATTACTGCTGGGTGAGGAAGAGCAGATCTTCTTGAAGAGAGATACACCAGATAGGCTGACTAAATCTCGGTGGATGAACTTGCCCTGAGGGACATCTTGGGACACCTAACTTTACACAATAGGCCTTAATACAAATAACAGAATGTGTGAACTCCATTAGGGGGGCTATGGGAGGGGCCAAAGGGAAAGGGGTAACAGGATATAAACATGATTTTATGTATGAAATACACAAAAATTCAATTAAAAAATTATTTTAAAAATACTTAAATACAGCCGGGTATGGTGGCACACACCTGTAGTCCCAGCACTTGGGAGGCAGATCTCTGTGAGTTCAAGGCCAGCCTGGTCTACATAGTGAGTTCCAGGACAGCTGGG